GCTTTGATATAAGATCACAGAACTTTAAAAGCCTTTAGACATTTTCTGACCGCAAATAGAAAGAAAACGTCCCGAAGAATATTTAGTTTTAATTTTGAAAGCTTTGAGCGATTTTCTTGCCTCGCGTTCATCTTTAAAAAAAAAAACAAATACAAGGCAGCCCCCCCAAATTTTGGGCAACTTAGTTTTTTTGGGCAGCAAGAGAAAATTTGGGCAAAGCCAGTTTTTAAAGACGTCTCCATGGTTTCTCCATGGTTATTTGATTGAAGACCTGAACAGTAACCTGAAGTCGGCGTAATAATCCAGTTACATTCACACGAGACAGTGGTTACCTAGCATCATAAGTAATTTATATATTTGTAGTTTTTTATCGTTGGGCACTGTCCTGCACTGCACTAGCTGGCATGGGTTATTTCCAGTTGTGAATTGATTAGAATAAACTTCGCAGAACTTTCTAGAATCATCTCCACTCGAAGAACAGTGTATGGCAGATTGCATTAGCAATGGGTCTGAAAATGAAGAAGTGGCTGACTAATTTTCAGTTTGAATTACGAGAAGAATCTGAATTCTTTTAAAGAATCTATCGTTAGGTTTAAAATTATTCGCTAATTTGGTAAAGTAGACCGAAATGTTTACAAAACCGCTAACAAGAGCGCCGTGACACATACTAATCAAATCCATCGTTCTAGCAATCGGTGCAGAGCTGTCTCCACGTTCTTTCACACACGTTTTTAAATAGATTAAAACTACTATGAGGTTAAATTGCATGTCAAAAGCGCTTCGTTTTCTACAGATAACGGCCAAACATCAAGATACTCCTTTTCTTACCGTATTTATTACGATGAAAACTTAACCCGAAAATATCTTGATAACGCTCTTCCACATTCTGCTTAAACTTCACGAACATCGAGGCGACCGTATTGGAGAAAAAAGCTCCTGTGAACGATTTTGAAAGGTTCCCAATGTCGAGAATTATAGCTGAAGTAAAATAGGTAATGGCATCATTTCGTTGCTGTGACAACTCCGATGTCATTGGAACCCTGATCATGACAAA